AGAATGGAAAGGATAATTATGATTTTACAGATAATAATTAATGTATAAATGAAAAAAACAGAAAGAATTTCTTTAATTTATTATTGTAATAAAGAAAATCCTAATTGTATAAAAGGTTGAAAGTAATTGAATAAAGATGAAATATCAATAAAGAAAGTCTTTTCCTTTATTCAATAGATTTAAATCAAATTAGAAAGAAAGCTCTTATAGGTATTAATAGTTATGATTGGGCAAGGCATAACAGTAAAGACTGGATGGTTTAAATTGAAATATCAATCGAATCCCTAGTTAATAGTAACAATAAGTATATACAGGATAATCACAAGCTGAAAAACAAGATAACCCTTAATTGCAGCACGTGCGATAACAAGACCGAACTAACGCTTAATTGCACCCAACCGCTTGCGAACTGCCAAAAGCTTTACTTCCATTTGAGTTAGGATGAGCTGGTACTATTGTTCTAATTCGTTTCCCCGCAATACAGCCTTCGCCATACAACACTCTACAGCTTCTCAAGCAAGAGTAAAAGAAAGCATTTCTTTCGAAACATGATTCTTTAGCTTTTTCTGTATATCAAGCTATCTCAAGAGTTAATTTTACTAAAAACTAGCAAAGTTGTAACTTACTTCTATCATATTGCCATACTCAATAATAGCCGATCGATATTGGAGAAACATCTTGTATATATTCTTGTTAAACAAACACTTATACTTATGCTTACCAGCCAGATAAAGCAAATAGCGAGATTGACTAGATGATTATTTAGAAAGTCGATAGCAGATACTATCTCCCTTGTTGGAAATACAATTGTATATACAGTCAGCATAAACCCAATTATTCTTCCGAATATATTATTCTTGTTATGATATTATCTTTTTTGATAACCTTTTGCTTGAAAATCCCTATTCATTAATATTAACAAAACTAATACTTCTGCAATAAAGTATATCGAATTTACGATTAGATTGATTTTGATATAAGGCCTCCAGAATGTCTTCCTCAACTATCTCGCTATTATTTTCGAGATCATAAAAATGATATATCGCTATAATCAATTTATCAGTAAATTTCTTTTTGTAATTATCAACACAATCAATCAAAAGATTGTATTCTTCCTCCAAATTCTACCTCGAAAGATAATAGAATAAATATATCCAATAAGTATATCGAAGATTAACCCCACCCTCAAATACATTGCCTTCAATATCTGTAATCACACTTGTTAAACAAGCCAACCATAAGCTAGAGATATTAAAAGAAAGCCTCATTTACGTGCATCTTTATTATCCAACCCATTTTCCTCATTATCCTCCTCCTCGCCGATAGAATCATTGCTACTCCCACTGCAGCTCGACTCCTCCTCTTCCTCAATAGAACACTTATTTTGTACAACAAAAAAAGCAGATACTCTCTTCACCACAAACTGTAAAGAAGTATATCAACAAAGCAAACGCAAAAGAAAAATAATCAACTCATCATTGTATACGCATTCTCTCATTGCTTCAGCTACACTAGCAATAACTTACTCTTACTACTATATTTTCTTAATAGTATGAAAAGCATATTGATTATTAATCGAAAAATATGAAAAAGATAAGTAACCAAAAAAGATTTGAAAAAAAAAGGGAAATTCGAATAATCTATATATTTCGAAGGCTTTACGCTATTGCTAGGCTACAGGATAGTTTCCTCTATTTCCCATATGTCTTCCTGTTGTGAAAAAAGCAAAATTTGCATATACGCCTATTTACCACACCATACTATAATGTAAACAATAACATCTCATTGGGATCATCAATGTGTCTATAGATTAGATAATTATAAAGCTTAAGAGTAAGCTTTTTCGAAAGGGGAGATAGTATTACAAATCGTACCCAATCGCAGCTGTAATCACTCACATACACACTTGCACATATGCACAATTACATATACATAGCTAATATATAGAAGTGCTCTACAAGCGCTTTGCTCCTGATTCTGTAATTGTAGATTCTAAGGATAAATTGTACCCTGCTCTTGCAGTTCTTCTAAGGCAAAGTGTCACACTATCAAACAGCTCGGTTTCTTGAAAACATTTCAGCTAAGTATATATTCGATACTTTTCGAGAGTACTGGATTAATGCATATATAGGACCACCAAATTACATTATTCATAATACAAAAAAGAACTTTGTGAGTAAAGAATTCGTCCAGAATACAAAATCTATATCAATTATTACCAAGAGTATATCAATTGAAGTATACAACTTTGTAGGTATAGTGGAGAGATATTATCATCCCCTACACTGTATATATGAGATTTTGACTAAAGAGCTTGAAGATAACAATTTGACGAAAGCAATGATCTTGTAAATGGCAGTGAAAGCTGTGAATGATATAGTTGGACCAAATGAGCTTATTCCTATACTATTAGTTTATGGAATATATTCTAGATTGAGTGATATTAACTTATCAATCCCGACAATCATTCAACATACAAAAGCTACAAAGAAAGTTATAACAGAAGTATATTATATACAAGCTAAGAGATAGATTACAGAAACGCTCAGATTGAGAAATGGACTATCCATGACATCAGTCCTTACTCTATTATTTAATTCACAAGTTTTAGTATAAAAAGAAGGAAAAGATGATAATACATTAGGCAAATGGACTGAATTATACATTCTGATTAGAACGGATAAGGAAATATGTAAAGTGGAATTTATTAGTGAACCGACTAAATTTCGATCTACATCTATACAACCTTTTTATAAAGAGCCTAAAGAAATCGAATTGAATAACGGTAATAATATAAATAATAACAACGACGATAACATTATAGTAATTAATACATTACGAATAAAGATACTACGACTATAAACACTACTGCTAGCGATACAATCAGATATGCAACTACATTGTTGTATGAGAAGCAATTTGACTAATATAGTCAATTTGACGGATATCGATATTAAGCTATCACCATCGCAACTAATTGTATTTTTGCAAGATGATATATCTATACGATATAAGGAATTATGATGTAAAGAAGTTGATGGTTTGATAGAGAATGGAGTCTTTAAAATTGTTTTAAAAGCTAATATACTGTTTGGAATACGATTATTTAAATCTCGATTTGTTGACGAAATAAAGGAAGAAGGAACTGATAAAGTATACGCGAAGTTATAACTAGTAGTTCAAGTATACCAGGATACGGGCAAAACCACTGTTTTAATACAATTACCGACTATTCAATATATTAGCCAGCATATTATTTTTACACTTGCTGTTATTTTGCAAGCATCAAATAAGTATATTCAGATCTATTTATAGAATATCATACAAACATATACCCAATCAATTACGATTTTGAATAGACTTATTTATATGGAAGCATCAGTAGAGATCGGAATTGATAATGGATATGTACTTTATGTTGTCAAGCCCTTATATAGTATCCCAAAGACAGGAAATTATTGGTTTGGAATTTATTACAATTATTATAAGGATAGGCTAAATATAATATAATCTATATACGATTCTTGTTTACTTTATTCAATTGATTATATCGGTATTGTGGGACTTCAAACCAATAATACTCTCATAATTGCAGATGAGAGATTTACATGCTTAAAACAAAAGAAGTTAAAGGAGACTGGTTTTATGGCTAAAAACAGAGAGCAGCTTATCGAGGATTATTCACTCAAGTTTAATAGTGGTTTGATTATTTTTAAGGGTGATAGGATTTATTTGAATCAAGAAAGACAATGCAATAATCTCAGAATGGTTACACCGGGAAATGTCGATATGTGCGGAACAAGGGGAAAAGTTCGAAAGAATGTCATTTCGAAGAATCAGTATATCGCTCAACACACAAGAGGTGTATATATTGTAACTGTATATTAACCAGAGGTGTTATATCATCTTTTTATTACTATCTAGATAATAGATCTAAAGGAGAAAAATACTATCAAGTTTAATAAAGTTATCAAATAGTAAATAGATAATTTAAAAAGAGAACTTATATTCATATCTCTCGATATAGATTCTATTGATTTAGTCGTTTTTATCAATATATCCTTTACTAACAATATTAATCTATTATCACAAATCGGCTATGTTATATATCTTATAGACAAGCATAGCAATACTAATATTATCTATTGAATGTTGATTAAATGCAAGAGAATCACTAGGAGCATACTAGCTTCTGAGCTATATGCACTAATTCTAGGTTTTGATATCGGAGTTGTTATTAAGGGTACTATTAATACTATTCTTAAACCTAAAAAGCAAATACTACTTATACTTTATATGGATTCTAAGTCATTATATAACCTATTAACTAAGCTCGATACAAGCACAGAAAAACGACTCCTAATCGACATTATAGTTCTATAACAATACTACGAAAATAGGAAAATCACAGAGATTAAATGGATTGATGGGAAGTCGAATCCTGCAGACGCCATAACTAAAAACGATACATATCAAGCTTTAAAAGATTTGATTGATATTAATAAAATAGTTATTAAAGTAATACATTGGGTGGAAAGAGAATAGTGGAAGGGGAGCTAAGGGAGTAGGAATAGAATACTATACTTAAGATTGAATAATAGGCTTAGGCTTAAAGTATATGATCCATTCAACTTAAGAGTTGCCAGTGTCAGGATATCGATCATGTGATCTAAGAGGGCACTGTATTGCACTAGCGTATGTACTAGCGTATGCACTAGCGCTAGCACTTCTACTATATTAAATACTAGCTTCCTATAGTTAATAATGATCAAGACGAATAATACAATCAATCATATTGATAAGACTGAAGTACTTTACACTTTAATCAACACCAAGTTGATACCAACAATAACAATATCACCAAATGGAAGTCACTGAGTTGTTTTCAATCCTCGTCTGACGTTTGACTAACCCAGAGAGAATTGAAGAATCGAGCAACTTTCGGAACGCCACGGCTCATATCGATGATTATTCTTGAATGATTATTCACAGCTATCACTATGGTCACTGGAACTGAAATAGTGGTAAGGCAATCTAATTCCTTCTTCAAAGTTTGTGAATACTGAATGCTGATTGACACGAAAAATTTCTAGAAGTGAGAGTAGTTTTGACAGGATATAGATGTGGCCCAGAATTAATATCGAGAAGATTTGATCTCTGATGCCCTTAGTTCAAACACTCTTCTCACAATTCCCCAATGCTGCCTTTTCAAAATAGATATACACGAAAATTGTAATGGAAAAATAGTCCCCACTAAGCACTATGAGAACTGAACGCAGTAGCCCGCCGATCAAGACGCATCAGAATTTCTCTTGCCCGAGAATATTTGAGATGGATACGAGGGATCAATTCCATGGTCAAGAACCACCGTCACCACCGTCACCACCATCACCACCATCGGGGCCGTAATTACCGTCGCCACCGCCATACCTGCTACCACCAACCTTGTTCCTACAACAGCAGACGAGGAAAGACATTAGAACAAAAAGTCCACCTCCGACTGCTAGTCCAATAATGAGATTCTTCTCCATTTCGTATCTAGCGCGAATCGCTGGTTTCGAAACAGTTTTTGGATTTCGTTGTAAATCTGGTTGTGATCTTTGATATGAATTCTTAGTATCTAGCGAGCTTTCCACAAGACATTCGTGAGAGCGCGAGGGTAAGAATATATCGGATTTCGATGAATCGACGAGGTAGGCTGATGGCCTAAGGGAGTTGAGATGTGAGGGCTTGGTCTATTCTTTATCGTCAAAGAGAGATTTATTGTCAAGCAGTGCTATCAAAAAAAGCTGAAGTGGTTGATAGCGAAATTCGTAGTGCAAATCGAGTCGATGGAGTGTTGAAAGTTGGGACATCGGTGATCCTTGAGAACTCTGGAATTCCAATGAACAAGCTAGCTTCTCATAAACGAGATTGAAAAAACAAAATGACTCTAATTTCAGATTCATTATGACGCGGTATAACATCACAGTGTTTGTTCTTTTCGATTTGCCCTTTTCGATATTGGCTTGACCAAGGATATATCTGAGATCAACTTCACAGGCTCTAAACCACATTTCACAAAGTCCAATGGAAAATCCAAAGCATAATAAACCTTTGATTGCCCATGAATATCAACAATAGGAGCGAGAAATCAAACGATGGATGAGATTCTTAATTATTCCTAAATATCCGGGCATCTACTTGACACAAGAAGTCCTCTCAAAATTCCAATGTAGCTTTTCCTAAAGAACATCCTGATGCCCAATCACCATCTTCCAAACGTCACGCAAACAACACAAAAGAAAAAAAGAAAAACGATCTCCATGGATTCAAACACCCAACTTCATGATTCCGTTCTTCGTCGAAGAGATCACAGCCAAACACATCGTTAATCAAATCCTCGTAACAAAACCCAACAAGCATAACAGCCTCCAATACCAAGAACTAGGTATTTTATGTCATACCTGATCTTTAAATCAAGCCAAACTCTACGGTACGACCGAAAACGACGCGGTTTTTCAAGGCGATAATTTATCCGTCTCCGTTCATCATCGCGTCTCCGGCATGCTTCGCAGCAAGATTGAATTCTGCGTGTTGTCAGTCCGACTTGTTATAAACTAACGGCATTGAATTTCGCATTTGGACACGTTCGGGTTGGCTCTTTGGGGTGGGTGGCATCCGACTTGAATTTTGAGGAGCTCATAGTGAATAAGTTGTTGTGTTCTTTTGGTAAATGACTCCTATTTGTCTAATTTGTGGTGATATTTTCGTGAAAATTTGACTTATACTGTTGATGTAACTAGGTACCTATTGTAAAGTAAAGTCTAGCGAAGATTGAAAAGTAGGTGAAGGCAAGAATGTGAGGTAAGTGTGTTGTGGAGGCGACGACACTTCAAACCCGAATGACGTGATAGTGCCGAGCTAAATGAGCTGAGTGTTGAGATCTATGTTGGTTGAGCAGTATTGTATGGCAGGATGCTGGAATTTGGATCTTGAAAGTTGCAGTGTTGCAGTGTTGAAGGAAGTGTTGGTAAGCTTTAAAGCCCCGAAGGGGTTGAAAGTATTAATATCCTTCAGGAAACGAGTGACTCCTATTCTTTCGACCGAACTTCGGCTACTAAGAACTGCTTCAAATGACTCCTAAGAGTGACTTATGCCACTCTTACATGTGACTCGTGCGAGCCCTCAATCTTCGAATCACTGCAACTCTTTGTTGACAAGAATCTTTCTTTTTCTCTTCTTATCTCTATAACTCTCAATAGTATATACCATAATTATCATGGCAAAACCCCCAATGAGCACAACACCTACTACGAAAAGGAGTTCAAACAAAAGGGAAAAATCTTCAGGTATCTCTTTGGCGTTGTGAGTGGAATTTGTGGAATTGAGCAGTTTCTCGGAGGGCGACATGATGCGGAACCGTGAGCAGTGTACTCTGATTGAAGGCCGTGAGATCCTAAGTTTGAGTCGCGGTGTGATGAAGAGCAGTCAAATTGTAGTGAGCTGAAATGCTGAGAGGATTAAAAACCGAGAATGCTTCCAAATGATAAAGTGACGAGAAGTGGACGATGTGAAAATGCGAGGACGCGAAGATGTAAAGTTTGGGCGTTTAGTGATACGAGCTCTATCAGTTCAAGTGAGCAGATTCGAAAGACAAGGGATTTGATATTGAGTGTGTGATAGCTTCTTAACGAAGAAGTTAGAGTCTGACTTTGAGAAGTAAGTTGTGGTGTTGAGAATTTGATAAATTGAGAACTCAAAAGGTGCATTAACAATTGGTCTACCCCAAGACAACAATGACTCCTAATATATTGGAGATATGAAGAATGACTTGTATCAGTCACGTTAATGATTCATATAGGAATATAACTGCGAGTCATTGCTTTTGAGATAACACAACAGAGGAGTGTAAAATGATTTACTTTAGCTAGATTTAAGAAACGGGTTAAAATTTCTAATGGAGTGTAAAATTCCACGGTCTACACCCCCACAAGTGGATCTGATTGATCTTCTAGAGTTTACTTCGTAGATAAAAGAGAGAAGACTGTTGATGAGTTAAAGTATGATTATCAGTAAGGCAGCTAGATCATGTATTAAGAAAATATGTCTCTACTTCGTACAACCAAGCTCACGTGTCCTCTCTCTATGTTGATTCCATCTCTCCTCTCTCAAAAACACATTCAAAGAAACCCGAATTCCGGCCACCCCCATCATTACATAAAGAGCACGCCACTTTCACTCAGTACTCCATCCAAACGTCCCATATATATATAACCAAAACAAGCCAGCATCGCCATCAACAAAAATTATGGACAATTCCGGACCCCTGTGAATGCTTCTGTCTATCGGGAACTGAAGGCAGAGTTGGCTGACTGTATTGTACCGCTGGGAACACCGGAGCTCTTCTTGCTTTCCACCATAGAAAACCAACAACAGCCAAAATGGCTACCGCGCACACTGCAACATGGAACGCCCTCAATAATTCCGGCATTTTGACCTCGAGACCGGAACTTTTGTTATGAGAGAGGCGCTAGAAATTAGAGTATGAAGTTCGGGATTGAGCTAGGAAGGCTTTTGAAGATGTTTTGCAAGTAAAGTATGCTAGGAAGGCTTTTGAGGATGTTGTTTAGCTGACGTATTGCAAATGTGAGGACTTTCAAGCAATATTCTGCGACACTAAAGAACCCAAATTCTTAAAGTTGGGACCCGGAAGATGGAGGCTGTGATTTGATTGACTGAAAGGCTTTGTTGAATGGAAAATTGGAAATGTTGAATAGAGAATGTGATATTGTCGAGAAATGGGGAGTTTTGATGAGTTTAAGTACTCAAGAAATGAGTCCATTCACAATGTCCATGACTCCCAATAGACCAGGGCTGGATGACTGATTGGAAATCTGAGTCAATAACTGGATATACTTGCATATGAATCAATATGGATACGCTAGCCATCCAAAAGGTGACAGGGGAGAGGACATCATGAAGGTTGAAATAGTTGATAGTTAAACAGCAATGCAAGTATATCAAATTCTGATGAGCTATTAATCCCTAAAACCATCCTTCCCTAGTCTAAGCGCCGTCCAGATCCACATATCTAAATATTTCCCAAGAATTCTATCACTGAATATCTACACCAGGTACTACCACTACTGTGTGACCGAGAAAAAACCTTTGTTTCCTACCCTTCCACTCTCTTAGCACCAGCTCCGCACTTCGTAACCTCAACCTCGAAACTTACGGGGATGGCTGTGTCTACTACCAGTCGTGGCCAATGGCTGCGGACTCGATGGAGTTGTGGAGACCGGGCCAGCGTCGAAACTTGAATTTGATGACGAAGCAGCAGTGTTTTGGAATCCTGCTGCGGCCGATAAAGCACTCAAGATTTCCACTGTGAAGGATGAGTAGATATCGATAGACGAAGTACTACTAGTAGCAGCGGCTGATAACGGTTGTACGTTGGCTGATGTAGCTGTAGTAGTCGGAATGGTGACAAATTGACTGCCTGGATTATCAAGTTTTATTTCTGGAGTAAATGGGCGATGCCTATTGCGATTTTGAGCCGAAGTGTTATGATGGGTATGGGAGGGGTGAACTTGGGTAGATTCGTTTTTCTCGAGAACACTATGTCTAGAAGTCAAAGCGTTTGTAGGAAGACTCCTGGCGTAGATATTGTATGGATTTATGTCTGCCATTTCACGCTTTCCGGACTGTGGATGCTTGTTATGGGAGTTGCGCACAAGGACAAAGGCAGCGGCGATACCTCCTCCACAGACGATCAAGAATGCAAGGAATATTAGACCTTGCTTAGTGTTGTGCTGCATCTTTGAGGATTCTGCACGAAACGTGTAATGATTTTATTTGCTTCCTTCTTCAAAGCTGCTTGATATCTGTCTTGAAGGGCCAGGGTATGCGACAGGCGTTCGCTTTGTTTGTCGAGTATTTGTGGAATGTGAGCGTCCTGGTGTTTGAGTATGTATTGAATGTGAAAATTTCGGTTGCCGAATATGTGCTGGTCGTGGACGTCTTGGAAGTTGCCCTAATTCTAAAAGGTTCAAAATAGAGTTGTTGTTGGTCTTACGAGGTTGGCGGAAAGAAAAGTAAAGAAGAATCGCGGCTATAACTATAAAGCATGCGCCTGTGACTGCATATACATTTTCTTTACTGAATTCCATTATTCCAGTATTTATGACTGTTTTTGTTCTAAGATCAGCGAATGATCTTGTGATCAAGTGAATTTCTGGAAGAAAGATGACTGTGGTCCTATTGCGTGGAGCTTGGAATTGTGAGTGGGCGGGCTCAAAACATTAGGAAGTGGGATTGAGACAAAGATAAAGTACAGTCCCTTAATTATTACTGCTGTTCTGTAGTTGAAATTGAGATTTCTCGAAATGGAAAGGGCGACCAGTTAGAAGTAAATGCGCTCAAACATCATACGGCATCAGAGGCTCGTATAATGGTATACGTGATGTGTGCTCAAATAACTCATGAATCATCACACTACCTGTGTGTTATTTAGTAATATTTGCATATTTCAACAGAAATTCAATCAAGCTGATGGTAGCAAGCTTCACAAATAAGGGGTATCGACATGCCTGATAGGAATGATTGGCCGCCAGCTATGAACAAAGTACTTCCGTTGTCACAGCTTATAACTATAGATCAGCATAGACATGCTATTTACTCCTTTGTAACCATAATCTTTCATAGCAAGCGGAAGACGACCTAAAGCCTTTCAGTCCACATGAAGGGGACAAGTCTTGTGGCAAGATATCTCCAAGTCAAGCAGTCTCAACGAAAGGAATCGAAAAGAGGAGAGATGCATTTGAATATTAAAGGAGTGATTAAAACAGCTACTAAAAGGTTGGAAGTATTCTAAACTTTTGCAAATACTTCGGAACAGGATTCAAAAATGAAAGGAAACTTCCAGTGCCACAATACGGAGTGGGTTCAGGAATATCACAGCCGTAAACTCTGGCTTTGTTTTATTTCTTCTCCCCCCTGAGAATAATGGCGGTGCGAGGGAATTCATCGAGAAACTGCTAGCGGCTAACTTCTCCGTATCCCTTATTTATTCCTCAATTATCCGCCATGTCAAATCTTATACCGCTTTTCCCTGTTACATTTGCTTGAACTGTCATGTTTCAAAACTGTGATAACTAGTCAGATTTAAGAGGTTATCTCAAATGAAGCAGCGCTACTATTCATTATCATAATCGTCATAAAGCGTCATGTGCCAACCCCGTCAGCATCACTACCATGGTAATTGCAGAGGTGTAGGCAGATCCGTCCCGATTGTTACATCCGCGGTACCAATATCTCGAGGACCCCTTGGTGCCAGTATTGGACCCGACTTACTGATGTCTAGCTTCTCTGTCCATTCGACCAAGCTCTTCGCAGCTTCATCGGGCGTTACTGCTCCCCCGTCATCCCAATATTTATCAAATCCTACCCCTTTTGTCATCTCTGTTCGCATGAATCCAGGATGCAGAATCGATACGATTATTCCATGCTCCTTCAAATCTAGCGAAAGGAGCTTTCCAACCATGTTGAGGGCAGATTTCGAGGCATGATGTCCATAATTACCGCCACCTTCTTTCTCGTGTCGCAAAGTAATTGAGCCCGATTCGGAGGAGATGAGAAGAATTTTGGAACCTTTGGTGATGTTCTTGGCACGGAACAAAGATTGGACTATGAAGGGAGGAGAGATGGCTGATGTTGCTAGAGGCACAACGTTAGTCTTTACGGGCGCAAGATTCGGCATGATGAAGATGTTGCAAAGTACTCACTGTACATCTTCACTTGTTCATCCCATTTTGGACCATTTACAAAGTCTTCTGTGGCAAAATATCCAGCTGTGATAATCTGAGATTTAATCAGTCACATTTAGCTGCTGTGCAACACCCTCAACCTATTCTCCTTCTGATGGAACTGGGTTAAGTGAGCGGACATACAACGACATCAAATGTAACTCGTCCACCCTCGACCATTCCACCACCACCTCCAAGCATACCCAACTGATTCACCAATTTTCTACCTACTCCTTCTTCTGCAACATCGATATTGGGTATCCAAACGATCTTTTCATTCAGATCGGACGGGCCAGTGGCAGCACGAGTGGTTCCATAAACGGTTGTTGATTGTTGCGAAGCGTAATTCTTCGCGAGTGATGCACCCAAACCACGAGTCGCACCTACAATTAAGATATTTGTCATATTGGATAATTGATTATGATTGAGATATTGAAAAAGGATTTTTGTTGATTATTGCTAAATATCTCTAAGCTGGAGAAATAACAAAATGTATGTGAACATTGCACTTTGGGCTGTTGACGTAGCCATGACGTCTTTTTTAGCGTTAGATGATGACAAACTTAGCGTCTGCAACCCCGCGTCAACCTGTTCAGGGTTTCAATCCAGGGTGAAGCGTGCTAAATACAGCGATTTACCACCCAAAACACATTCCAAATGGCCGGGAGCGATACAAGTCTCTCTTTATTCAGATTCGAATGCAGATTCCAAGTGGAGTGTCCTATCGTATAGCAATATGTCTACTCATAGGGCTATTGCTAGGCACAAGATCAACGTGGAGAAATAGATAAGTACCCAGTAGGTGATCTCATCATTCATGATATAAAGAATCGACATGAGCTTGGTTAATCAACGGTTCCGATGCTGCTAGACGGCGCCATTAAACAGAACATTTAACTGTTTGAATGAATTCAGCTACCACTGGTCTCGCATTAATACCTAGCCATCCCTTTTCTTCCCGGGGGAACGGGCAAGAGTGGGCGATGGTAACTAATAATTATGTATGTCGAAGAGAAGGATCTACTATTCCTATCGTCTCAACGCCACAGACCAGAACAAAAAGATTCGTAATTCAAAGATTGAAGCTCCAGAGATAGACGATGGATGGATCTAGAGGTTGCAACTACAGATTCTCGATATTCTACCATCCAGTTTTGAGAATTAGCATGATGGTTTCGATATCGAGGACCCATAACATACTCCTTATCAATGCCTTCCTACTTGTTACATGAACTCTTAGCTGTAGGGACACCAGTTCAATACAGAGTAGGTAAGCAGAATACGAGTCTTGGTACGAAATTAGCGTACTCGTTTGATGTAATTGCATCTATATGGGATGAAACCAGGATGGATAATCGCTGAGAAGATCAATCGTAATTCAAAAATATACAGGACTAGGCGGTTTATCCACAAAATCCTGAAACTTTTCAACCTATCACTCAGTGCCAAGATACGGAAGAATCACATAAATATCCCCCCTCGAATTCCAAGTTGCCCCCAAGGGTACTTCATATGGCGCATAATACCAGCATTATCATCGCATCAGATTGGCTTACTATACAAAAGATTATCACATCCACATTGATATTTCCGATTATTCACTACAACACTGCGCAGCCAAGATAATAACTTCCCCTTACTAACACTCTTCTTTTTTCCATAATGTTTATTTTGTATATCACGTAACATCCCCCTTCATCGTCTACGAGTTTCGAGTTCATACGTATGAAATCTACGTCTCGATACATATCGCCTCTGTAAGGGATCGCAAACACTCTCGTTAATACTTCCACTATGGCACCGTCACACGAATCGGGGTCCTGTCTGTGGAATAGAAGGATGCATAGAAGTTTCATTTTCGCGATTGGTATTCTGTATGTTCATCGTTTCTTGCACCTGAGGGGATTGCGCGCTCAGCGATAAGATCCAATCTTGTCTGGGGATTTTGACCCAATATTTGATCCCCAGGAATTTGCGAATATCCTCTGTATATTCAACGTACCATGCTAGACATTAATTCTAACTATTCGCAGAAGTTTGCTTATGTTAGTTGTTTACTATCAATACGACTTGTCATCAATATCGAAATTCCACCTAGACAAACTAGCACCAGGAGGGTCGGGCGTGGTGGGCGATTCTATAGCGACAGAATCGAATCCTTCAACTGGTGTAGCTTCGACAGGCTCAAAAGGAGGTTCGACTAACACGAAAGTTGAATTGGACCAGACGCGGGTTGCTCTCCTTCTCGAAACTCGGCCCTTACCTCATTTGCCCGCTCTTCTCGCACATTTTATATCTGTTTTACCCGCACCGTGGGTTTTCCGCTTCGTTGGAACCCCTGAAGCTAATGCATTGATCTCCTCTTCCTCATCTCTTTCCGGCCATGTCAAAACTGGAAAACTAGTCATCACCGAGCTCCCTGAGAAATATGCCATCAAAGACCAAGAGACTATAAGCATGACTCTTACAGATTTGACCTTCTACAGAGACTTTCTCGCTCCTGCAGAGTGGCTTCTGATGTTTCAAAGCGACTCCATGATATGCGCAGCCTCTGAGCACAACATAGAAGACTGGATTTCTAAAGACTATTCCTGGGTAGGTGCCCCTTGGAATATGGCCGTAAAGGGTGGAAATGGAGGACTGAGTCTCATGCATATCCCTCCCATCCTTAAAATTCTCGAAAAAGAAGTTCGTGAGCCCGGTACCCCGTGGGAAGATCGTTGGATATGCGATCGCCTCATAGCATCGAATGCTGCCAAAATGCCTGGACCAGATGTAGAAGTCAAATTCAGCGTGGAAAGCCAGTGGTATGAGAAGCCCTTTGGTTATCATCTAATAGGAAGTGGTAAATTCTTGGTCCCAGCCGTCTGGGATAATAAAGAGCGCAGAAAGCATATTCTGGAATACTGCCCGGAAGTAAAAATTGTCCTGGACATGGATTTGAGCAGAGAGAAAGAGAAATTGGCCAAGGAACTCGAGGAACTGAAATCTCCAAAGACTGGCACGGAAAAGGAGAAAGGAAAGGAAGATGGACCCCAAGTAAACCAACATGGGAGGAAAAGAATATAAATTTATAGAACACTCAGCAGATATATAATACCCACGAATAGCGATGTTAAAATCGATATACAAATTAAAGATACAAACACAATCACGGATCATTCTATTCGCACGAAAATGAATAGATCATCATGACAATACTAGCTAACTGGCGAAGGGACTCTCACGCCATCTAGTATAGATCTTTGCAGACAACACAACTCACAAATGAAAGCTTCCCGGATTGAATAATTTTATATGGGAATTTTGACATAAACATATATAGCCCGGCCAGGTCGACCGGAGAAACTCTAAAAGTTTAGGTTACAATTATACAACCAACGCTGTAGAACGACGCTAAACCTTATTCGCGTAAGCATAATTTTTCAGAACATGAAAAGCTTCCTTGAACCTATAAACGTTCTAGCTGCAGCGTTCGAATTCTAACATCCGCTCATACTTTCGATCCGTAAGGAAATCGCCCGTCCCCAATCCATTAATGGCATTTGTACAAGATCCCTCAACCATGGCCGAATCTCAACCCACATCCTCCTCTACAAGCCCCCCACCAGCACCTTCCACCACGGCAATAGATTCTTCACTTTTCTCACAACGATCACGGCGTCAATTTGGTCTATTCATGGGTGGTGCAGCATTCGTTGGTCTTTCGGCTTTCGTCACTCGCAGAGCACTCGTACGAAAATATAAGATGATGCTGCCAAAATTCTACACACCTAGTAATCGGGTTCATGACGTGGATGGGTCTATGGAGGCATTGGAAGCATTGAGTGTAGCAACTATAAATGTGGCCAGCATCAGCGTAATGCTCAGTGGAGGACTGCTATGGGCTTTCGATATTTCGACGGTCGATGACCTGAGGCAAAGATATCGGGCAAAGATGGGATTGCTCGCTCAAGAAACAAACCCAGAGGACGAGAAACAAATGGAGGAGTGGGTAAATGCAATGATGGTTAAATTGAATATTGATCCCAAGGAGTATTCTGCTGAAAAGGGCGAGAAGGGGGAAGACGCTCTCGGAGGAGCCGGGGAGCAGCTGGATGACGATACGGAACAGTCCAAGAAACCATAGAGTCGGGACGGGTTCGGCGACCAAAATACAATGGAGATTGGTGGATGTTGGAATGACGACAGGGACAACCTTCACAATCAAGACAGCCAGTAAAGCACCAGAGACAAAAAATACTGGCCTAAACCAAAGCACATGCGGGGCTGAAACACATTTGCGGTAATTGGCGCGAATACATAAGAGACAACTTGCTTTTTTCAATGCTTATCTTGCAAGCATTCCTTCAATATTTCTTTTGCCAGCGCGTTTTGCGGTGTAGGAGCCCTTCAGCCGAAATGGTTCTCATTGGGTCAACAAAAAGATGCGTGCGAGCATCTCAGCCACATGCAAGGGCACACCCGTAACATGGGTACCTATGTGAAGGTTACCTTATAGCACATGGTATTGAAATATGACAAGTAATCAATACTGAATGATTCGCAAAATTTCGTCAAGAGGTCGCTTCAATGTTTACCACATACTCCGCTTTAAAAAGCTTAAGCTTCAGCATTTCGAATAGTAGCAGTCCTTATGGATTGCAAAGTTCCAGTACGTAGGTATGTTCTTGTAACGCGGCCCTCAAAATGGGCTCAGCCAGGTTATCGAGTCGTCGTTCAGTCTCCGGTGCTGAATATTGCAAACGAGTCACTCATACCTGTGAGACGATTCAAAGGCAAAGATGAGAATTCGGTTTGTTTCATGCCTGTACAAGATATCGAAAAGGATGGGAGTATTGCCTACAAAACTGCAGGGATCGATACGGAGGCCAGGCAGATGGATGCTCATGGCATGGCATTGATTCACAGCGACTCTGAATTTGACTACCAACCTGGTGACCGATTTTGGCTGTTCATTACTGCCAAGGGAGATGGTTACGAAAATGACGTTCCTGTCATTAATCTACGAACTATGGAAACAGGATCGGTACCGATTTCTCATGTATGTTGGTTTCCAAAAATGCGCGGACCCGACAATGAAGTTTGGACATTTGGGGGCAACATCAGAAAGCTCAAACTTCATGGCAGGAATAATTTTACCCTATGGATTTGGGGCATATGTCAATATTTGGATGGACAGCCCGCAACGACTAAATATATTCAAATACCCGAAAGAAATGTCAACACTGATGAACAACAGTGGTTGAAATCTTCCAGCGCTCGGTCTCTATTTTCTCGCATCTATAAGAGCATGACGAAAGATTGTCAGCAGAAAAACTCCCCAATTTTGTCTCCACTTGGAGCTACGAATTACAGTACGTTACCAAGAGGCTTGCACACACCACCCATTTCGCCATGTATGAGCGACCCCTGGCCATTGAATGAAGATGGCAGTTTCACACCGAGGCTGGTATCTCGGGATTTGGATGCTGCCTGGAAAAATATCATGAATCTCGCGTCGAAAGGAACACTGAGGCCTATCCAGAGCAGTCTCATACACCCACAGAGAATCTTATCCTCACCTGATCGTAGGAAATTTCGTCGAACAGACCTTGGTGATACTCGGAGTGAATTGGGATATTCTGACAGCACTGCTAGATCATCCACCAGGTCTCCTTCTTTGGCCATGGAGAGTAGCAAATTCTGTGCTCCCAGTGATGATCTCATGGAGTTATTAGCGGATCGGGATGGAGGAGGCATACGTTGCGCTTTACGCCTGCTGGATTGGACTCGAAAGCAGGTCGAGGAGAGTCGGGCGAAAGACGCAGAACATTCGAGACTGTCGGCCGCACATCCACTTCTCAGGAGCAACCCTACAATACTTTTGGAGAGATACCAGAAAAAGAGAAACCTGTCAGCAATCACAGAATTGTGCGATCGTGGAAAGGACAATTGCGAGTGGTCACTCCATTTTACTTCGAAGCATTATCATCCCGACTACAAGAAATGCATCATGTCGAAGAATCTTCGGGAGCACGAGCATTGTATCTCATCATTACGGCCACTTCCCAGCAGTGCAGGTCCCTGTCTTCTTACTGCAGGCGCACAGGAGCACCAATGTTGCATCTGGGAAGATGAAAACGCAAAAAACTTGCCTGTTACCATGAAAGAATTCGATGATGTGAAGATTGTGGAAGCTAAAAATAACTGCATGCTTAGCGATGAAAAGGGCATCGAAATCCCAGACCAATTTAAGGACGAGAGCAAGAAGATCAAGGAAGAGGAATGGGCTCCTCCATATGTATATGAAGAATTGTTTGACGGGGAAGGAAAATGGTTGAGAGATGAGCTTGCTGGAGGAAACTTTCGTGATGAAGTTCTTGAATTAAGGAAGATGCACGATGGTGATTAGGATCAAGATCACAATTAGGAAGAGCAGCATCCTGAGGGTTGTGGTGGCTATGTGTGATGGTCACTAAATTTTAAATAAATATTAGCTAGCAAATGAATACGATATTGATACCCCATCATATGGACTCATTGTCATCAACCAGCACAGGAGTTTGTATAACTCTTTAAATATTGCAATGGCCCATCATATCGATACTCAAATCTAAATCAACATAGCCCCTCATTTTCCATTCCCATCTTCTCGATCGTGATCTTCGAAATTACCACAAATGTCAGCTACCAACTATGACTACCTTGAGTCTAGAAGCCTGGATATGGATCACACAATGTGCCGGGAAAACTTGCAAATTCTTCGCATTTCCTACCAACTTGCCGCGCCTACCTACCGGCAACTCTTTACTTGCAGAAGCCCATGAAGCACCCTATGTAAGAGGCGTTCAAGCCCCCCTCCACCATTCTAAAAATTCTGCACCGTGTCACACTGATTTTCAAGCGGTCTAGGAAATCCCAGCAGCAATCATACGATCAGCATGTGGAAAAATTTCGCCATGCGTGGCGAAAGAAAGAAAATCCAGCCGCAGGGCTTGCAGATGGATGCAGTGGGATATGCAGCGGCTTCCGAAAAGGATGTCCGGCGTTGTAGGCTTGATGGAATGGAGAGATGATTGCGACTTGGAATTTTGGTAGGGAGGGATATGATGCAGGGGATCGAACGGGCTTTGGAAGGGGGGATATTTGTATGTATGTCTGTGTGTAATATTTTAAAAACTTGGTTTGGGGGGAAGGAGAGGGTGGTTTAGGGGTGTAGTGGGGCGGGGGAAGAGAGGCTAAGTGAGGGGTTGGAGAGTGAGTTCTGGAATGTTGGCGGGTTAGCCGCTTTAAACTCGTAATTTATTTTCCTAGGTCGTGGACTATGCTTTTAGTGTCTAGCCTAGCCTTCACCGATTGGGTTTTTGGGGAAGGGTTTCTTTGGGGGTGTTTTGGCCGGGGAATTGGAATGTCACTGTTTTGGCTTGGTGGAAATTACGGAGATGCCGGTGCGGCTAGATGGTATAGAATTCCGGATGTATATATCCGTGGGAATTCTGGGATACTTGGTGTTTGAGACTTTGGATTTTTTGGCAGCAGGAATGGTTGAACACTTTGAGGTATCATGCACGAATTGGCGGTCGATATTTAGATGTGTAGATTGGGATATAGAAAGAGATGTTCATGATTCATTATCTTGTACATGTAAAATATTTCTAATATGCTAATTCATCATGCCACGGCTGTTCGTCGTATATCTGTTTGTCGTTTATCTGCTCGTCGTATATCTCCATCATCATTATCATAATCATAAAGTATATCTCATCACTCAACGCCCGAATCTGGCTTTTCCTTATGCTACTGTGTGTGTTTACCCAGAGTATGCCTCCAGATCGCGTATCTATAATCTAATATTAGCCATGAACATAGGCTGTGCGACATTATTTTGATGATTCTGGTAGATTGAGATGGGAAAGGGAATCTTCGCACATACCTGTCGCTTCCGCCGACGCATTGCCTGGACTTTCGGTTCTTTAACCACTTTCCCTCCATGGTTGTAACTTATATCACTGGTCGTCGCCGCCTTCGTGCGATACACCCCTCTCTCTCTATCTTCCTTCATCTTGAAATAGCCTCTATTCGATTCATGATTCTGATTTCGAAGGTTTCTTGGTCCATAAAAATATGGATTTCGATAAAACTGCGGGCACACCGGCTTGTCAGGCTGTGCTGTTAAATGACAGCATACAGGTATTTGATTTGCAGGAGGTATGCATGCGCTGAGCGTTTTCTCGAATCCGTTTCTTAGAGATGAGCCTGGCGAAGAGTAATCCTGATCGGTATCTATCTTGAAACAGAATTGGAAATCGTGCCCGAGAGCTTGGGTGTAGATTTCGAGGTGATCGCATTCGTCTTCGGGATAGAGCAGTTTTTGAAATAGAATGGAGTAGTTGTAGCAACCTCCCACGTAGCCGAAGCAACGGTCTTTTTCTGGCTGGGGAAGCGTTTTGACTTTGCCGGCTAACCTCTGAAAGGCACCAAATGCCAGATAAAGAATTCTGAGGGCCTCATATACATGGAATGATTTAACCCTAGAATCAATAAAGGCCAACTCCATGAGCTCTTTGGTAATATCTGTGACCATTACGATAGAAGCTGCTACAAAATCATACACCCTCTTCAATTCGTGGCTCGTGACTCCTTTCATTCTCCGATAATGCGAGAGGTAAACCTCTTCCCGGGATTTCAACCCTCCGAGCAATGTGATGACTTCTGAACTAGAGCGTGGAAGGTATTCTGGGTATTCACCAGTGATGACATTGTTTAGGAGACGCATGACATTGGTTATTGAGGACATTGTCTAGACATTCGATTAGCTTTCTCTCCTTCATGATGTATCGGAGATTAAGCTTACCTCTCGATGCGTCGAACAAATTGTAGATTAAGGCAGTATAATAGATTCTGAGATCAACGTAGAGTTGATGATGGTATTTAGGCGTTCATTGTTCAAACTGGCCAACTTTGATCAGAATATGCCACAATTACTTATATATCGGTGGTGGACAGCATATAGAGAGTACATAGATGAATCCCTGCATTTGCTTCACTGAAAGCGGGGTGAAGAGGAATATCTTATTTGGGTGCCTTGTAGGCCAATCAATCCTATCGCGTCATGGATGACCATGTCTCGAATGGAAATTCCTTTCAATGACCAAGGAGTAGGCTGGAACATGGCAGTGAAGTATCCTTCTGTACTTCTACTTTGATATCGGAGTTACATCCAAAAGTCGTTATTTCTGGATGCCAGCAGTCTCCCGTATATGCCCACTACTATCTCAGCACCGGTTCCATGACCCTGAATCCCAGCGGGATTGCGGTGTCTCGGATGTTCAATCGGTCTATAATTGGCTGAAATTGTGTGACAACTTTCCCCCAGCAACAAAAGCCACTGGGGCAAGGGCTGGAACTTTCTCAACCTCTACGACTCGCTGAAAATTACCAGATTAGGAGATATTCGACTTCAAACAATCTGACATTGAGCGTTTGTTTGTCTGTAAGATACTTGCGATTGTCGCGGTTACAAATATCACTGCATGTAGATATTTCGAGTTGAAAATGGCGGTGATCAGACACATTGAATTTGATGTATCAAATAATGTCGATTAGCAAGGGGTAATTAGGCTCACTTTGAAGATATCGTCAAATATTCGAATACTTGTGACAAGATAAAATTCAGGTCACAGATCTCCCAAGGAATGGGATAAATCTCGGGACAAAGGAGAGACAAAGTGATGGAGGGACCGGCTGGCTCTCCGGTGATTCTGAGCGATATCTCGGCGAGGTTGCCAGGTCTTCGTGAACCACAAATAAAAGAAGATAAAAAGAAGCATAACCAACATTGACAAGGCATTCGAATTCCACTAATGTCCGTGCGGAAGGATTTAAGTCCAAATTTACCCCACCAAGTTACTGCTTACCAGCCAAATTTGACATCGACGTCAAAAAATCGGCAACTCTTCCCCCCCCCCCCCCTTTTCTAAAAAAGGGAGCAAAAAATGATTTCTAGCAACGGATTCAAACCGATGATACTCAGGGTAACTCCCTACGTAGGGCTCGAACCTACAGCCTCAAGATTTCAGAAGATTTACTCAAATTATAGTTCGAGTCTTCGATAGAAGTCTTGCGCGCTACCATTGCGCCAGCAGGGAAATCGTATGATTTTTGGATGGTGGCGGCCGCTAAACTAAGGTTATGTTGAAGTGATCATTTTGCAGAGCTCTTATGCACCGTGATTGGTCGATTTGCGTTATGAATCAACCAATTAGTCCCACAAAATTCGAAGTACATTCCGAATTTCGTCCGATACTATTTCGAATCAGAAGCGCAACTTCGAACTACCGGAAATGCTCGTCTCGATAACACCTCTTTGCTTTCAATGAGATTTGGGGAGATTTTATGGAATGACAACTTGTCGATTACCAAGAAGATCCGATCGAGACTTTCCACTTCGTAGAAGGCAGTGTCGAAGGCTCCGCTGGTCCTTTGATGCTAATCCTATTGGGGCTAGGAAGCTACGAGACAGACAACCATTTGTAGCTCTGCAACAATGACATTGCATTTGGAATTGTGAATACGTGGTTTCAAAAGGGCGTGCTTGACAAGAAGGCGTGCTTGACACCTTTCAACGAGATAGGTAGGAATAAGATGATTGCATTTGGAATTACAAAAGAAGGTTTGTGCTAAGGGCAGTAGCTCTTGCAAACATGGTCATTATTAACCACTAGTTTGAGCTACAAGATATCCCCATATTCCCCTGTGGATACTCAAATCCTACTACGTACTCCGCGATATATACTATTGCCAAAGCCGTCCCTACCTCGAATCTTCAAAACTATTTGCATACCTAGATACGTACGAAATGCCTCAAACCTCTACGTACGGCACAGGAAGTGCAGCAAACAAAGCCATTGGAGGCATTCCTAGTATCCATTATTTCGATTTCCAATCCCGTGGTCGAGGTCAGGTAGTTCGGTTGTTGCTCATCGATGCAGGAGCTGCATTCAAGGATATTCGGTACACATTCGAAGAATGGCCAGAACATAAGAGAAATGGGAAAGTTGCGGAGATAAATCCTACGGGAAACATACCAGTGGTCGAGATGCCGGACGGAAAAATCTTGACACAGAGTTATGCTATCCTTAGGCATTGGTCAAGATTGCTAGGCGCGTATGACGGGAAGAATGAAGATGAGAAATATTGGGCCGATGCAATTTGCGATATTGTTATTGATTGTAAGCGAACCCCCTTCATTCAAATGCCCTCTGAAAAATAGTCACTAACGATTTACAGGGTGAACTCTGTTCATTTCAGCTTTCTTCTCTGACAACCAAAAAGAAGACTATCCGAAACATCAACAAGGCGATCAGAAGAAATACCTCAATGCAATCGAAACACATTTGAAGGGTTCGGAGCTTTCGAAAAAGGGTCCTTTCATAATTGGCAATGAAATCACATATGCAGACATGGTTCTATATCAATTACTCCACGACGAAAGTCTTACCAAAGATGGACGAAAAGGACTGAAAGAGTATCCGAGATTAGTGCAATTAGTAGATGCTGTGGAGGACAGACCAAACATCAAGAAGTTCTTGAACAGCGATGCTTATCTTGGTTAGATGTCAAGTATATGCATTGTCGGATATGCTTCCTAGCCAGATTCATTGAGAATAACTCTGGCTTAGATTCTCGTGCTTCCATAGAAGTTCTTTCATAGTCACTATAATATGAAGCTATTAGTCCGTATTTGTTCAATACATATTATATGTTCACTGAGTATAAATGCACACTTAAGTACCTAGATAGGTATCTTGAGATTATTGAGAATGAATTGGAGTGTTGAATGTGAGTCTGAAAGATTGTGTGTGTTCAACTCAGAGTGTACACAAAAAGATGTGGAAACAGAAATTTTTGTATTGGCAATAGACACCTAGGTACTGGCATGTAAGTAAGTTCATCAATGCTCGGGCTAGTTGACTATAGCCAGTTATGGAATTTGTGTCATGGGATAAGACGACATCAATGTTTGAGTGGTGATGAGAGATCGAGTCTTGAAGAGAGTCCGACGTGAGGCGAGAACGAATTGGGAAAGGATGATTCATCGGAATGGGTCGGAAATTGTTAGAACTCTATTTGATGAATTTGATGAATGAGAGCACTATGATCACCTTGAAGGTCATAATGTTGAAGAGGCTCTTTGCTCCTCGACTTGCCGCGAATATGATGGGTTGGAAATGTCTTTGCATCATAGAGTGACATAACTAGTTGTGATCCTTGTCGGCAACACAACAACCATGGATTTGGTCTCACACAATCATAAATCTCTGGAATCTTTGAGAACTTCAGAAATTATCGTTATGACGCCCATTGGGATAACTATTTCTATGTCGTCCCGTCCTACACACGAGTAATTTTTTTAACAAGAGTCTCACTCATGTTGTTATCAAAGGCTTCCTGACCGCCTGTTACGTGTTACCGGCACCACCGGCATCGATAATCTTGAGGTGCTTTTTGGCTCTTTGTGGTAAGTCTTACAATGTCGTTGCAATATAAATTGCTCTCGTATTGAGCGATAATGGTATTAAGGTTCACTTATCAAGGAGTGGGGCGAATAGATGGATTAGTGCCCTGTTCAAGCTCTCGTCACAACACAACATTTTTGTACGAACAACGGAACGATTACTAAAATTGATCTGCCACGACATGTCGAGATATGTCTCTCAAGCACGTCGTTTGCTTGAGAACTCCGTTCAAGCTCGACCAGCTCATAGCTGTTACGAAATTTATGGTCAATATTTAGCTTCATCCATAAAGCTCTTTCCTATGTAGGAGGAATCAATTCATTCTACGTCAGCTTACATCTTTAACTAACAACGTCCCTGCTTATCAAGTGGTTAACTCGGATGTTATCGTGCATCCTCTTGTGAGAGGTATTTCGACCTGCCTCATTCAGTATGGCATCAAGGTCAAGGAACTAGGGTCTGCAGATCTTGAGAGGGGTAAATGCAGCTGTCCCTGCCAAGGTATAAATCATGGAGAAAGTTCTTCAGCCTTTTGAATTGAACCCATTCATCGCCTCAATTAATCTCATCCATTAACATGGTGAGAACGAAGATCTCTGGCCTTGTTGCCCTCGTGGCTCTCACACTTGAAGTGAGTGCAATTGTCGTACCACGCCATTTGGAGGTCCACGAGAAAAGGGAAAGTTTACACCCGAGATGGTCGAAAAAAGATCGTGTCGAGTCACACAAGCTATTGCCTATGCGAATTGGTCTGACGCAAAACAATCTCGATAAAGGACATGATCATTTAATGAAGATGTGAGTAACATCAACCGAGACAGAGGAGAGTTTAGAGTTAACCAGCTCTTCATAGATCCGACCCTGCATCTTCGCATTTCGGACAACATTGGACTGCTGAAGAAGTCATTGAGGCTTTTCGTCCCACTCAGCAAACTGAAGATGAAGTTCGAAAATGGTTGATTGACTCCGGTATCCCAGCCGGACGTATTACTCATTCAGATAACAAAGGATGGTTTGCATTCTATGCGACTGCTGAAGAAGCAGAAAATTTGCTTTATACCGAGTACCATGAGTATGAAGATTCGATCACTGGTGGTGTTATGCCCTCATGCGAGACATATCATGTCCCCAAGGATATTAGAAAACACATTGATTACATCAGTCCCGGTATCAAACTCCTTGCGCCAATTGAACACCCAAGCAATAAGTTGAAGCGAAATGCTGAGATGTTGGAGCATGAAATATTCAAAAGGACTACACATGGGTTAATACGAGATGCTAAGCACAGCTACAATGGCACCAATGCCACGGATTTGAGCACTTGTGATATTGCTATCACTCCTGCTTGTGTTGCTGCACTGTACCAAATACCACCTGCGACCTTGTCTAATCCAAACAATTCCATGGGAATTTTTGAGTCGGAGCTACAATTTTACACTCAAAATGATCTTGATTTGTTCTTCACAAACTTCACAAAGCACATTCCCAATGGCACGCATCCAATTCCAGCGAACATCGATGGTGGAATGCAATCGACAACTGATCCTTATTACGCTGGTGGGGAGGCAAACCTCGATATTCAACTTGCTTATCCGATCCTTTACCCACAGCAAATCACTTTATATCAAGTTGACGATTATATCGTACAAGCCAATCAGAACGATACTTACACTTTCGGATTCAACACTTTCTTAGATGCATTAGATGGAGTAAGTTCAATAATATGATCGAATGTCAATATTCAATTAGCTCACATATTCTAGTCCTACTGCAACTACACTGCCTATAATGAGACTGGTAACGATCCATATTTGGATCAAGCCTACCCAGATCCACTTACTGGAGGATGGGCAGGATCACTCATGTGCGGTACCTTCACACCCACCAATGTAATTTCTCTATCATACGGTGGACAAGAATCCGACCTCCCAATTTCATATCAAAAGCGACAATGTCTCGAGTATATGAAACTGGGTCTTCAAGGTGTATCATTCCTTTTCGCCTCAGGCGATTCCGGTGTCTCAAGTAAGTACAAAACATCGGCTGATTCGAGCCGAATTTTCTTTTTCTTTGTAAAAGAAACTAACATATTGATTTAGACTACCCTGACAATATCGACGGCCCAACCGGCTGTCTCGGCCCTGATCTCAATATTTTCAACCCGACTTGGCCCAATACATGTCCATACGTGACATCCGTCGGCGCCACAAAAGTTTATCCCGGATATTCCGTCTATGACCCCGAATCCGCCGTCTACGATCCTGCCGGCTATCCATACTCTGTCAATTATTCTTCCGGGGGAGGTTTCAGTAATATCTATCCAATCCCTGATTATCAAGCTAGTTTCGTAGCAAAGTTCTTTGAGGATTACAATCCACCTTATCCGTACTATAGTGCGTTAAGTAATGATACCGGGGATATTCAGACATTACCCGATATTGGTGCTTTGGCGGGGACCACTGGAGGTATCTACAACAGAATTGGAAGGGGTATTCCTGATGTCGCCGCAAATGGGGATAACATTGCTGTGAGTCTATTCTATCTTACTATGACATAGTTATCTAACTAACGAACAATAGATATACAACGGAAACGACTTTCAACTCAGCGGTGGTACATCAGCCAGTACACCAATTTTCTCCGCTGTCATCAATCGAATCAACGAAGAGAGAATCAATATCGGAAAGGGACCGATTGGATTCTTGAACCCGTCGTTATATGCTAATCCAAGCATGTTGAATGATATTGTTAATGGAACAAATCCGGGATGCAGTACAGTGGGATTCTCCGCGGTGCCTGGGTAAGTCTTCTGGTTTTCCTTCCTTTCTTGCGTAATGTGAAGGGTTTTTGGGGAGATACTGTGCTAACTTAATGATTGATAGATGGGATCCAGTCACAGGTCTTGGAACACCTAATTACCCAAAGATGTTGGAGTATTATTTGGGTTTGCCATAATGTGGATGGATAGATGTTAAATTTTGGGATGATATCGTGATATATTATGAGATAATCAAATCGGTAAAATTAATACACATCAGGAATAAATTGAATACCTGTATTAACAATGTAATTGTCCCAATGAATGAATACCGCAAACAAGGCCATTGTTGTCCAATATACAAAACTCAAGTCGTTATATCACTGTTTTGTTACACAAATTGTTGCCTCGCAGTATATTCGAGATCTTTAGCTAACATACCAAAATTCTCAGCATATACAAGTTCACATTAATTTCACAGCCAACCATAAAACACTCTAAATTTATGACCATCGGAAGTACGAGGTATATAGGAACTCTACATTCTTTCCATGCTCAACAAAGAGCGCTCCTTGCTTCAAAATGTATTACATATTACAATTTCTAAATCATATAATGAATACACTTATACAAGAAAATCTACCTTGGCTCTCCTCATCTGAGGATCTATCATCATCATCATTATCAACCTCAAGGGGATATACAAACCACAACTTCCACACCCATCAAAGTGGTTCCCACCCCCCTTCTCTAAACACCAATCCATTCGGATCATCCACCAACACCGCCACCCCATCTCCCAACGTCCTCCTCCTTTCCCAATCCGCCAATTCTCGCTGCGCTCCCCCATCATCTACTCGAATCCTTATATTCATTCTCTCAATACCTAATCCCTCAGCCACCAGCATGTATTTGATTTCATAAAATGACGTGTTAGGCGTAAATTTTGTAGGTATATGTTACCGATTTGTCGGTGGAAGAGATCGTTTTCTATAACGTGGCAGATGAGGATAGAGGGGAGATATTCAGGGGGGATAACGGCTATGAGTACGGGATTATCGGGTCTTAGTTGGAGACCTCTGGGGAGATTGAGAAGGGGGAGTTGAATTTGACGCGGAGCTGGAGGAAGTAGTGGAGCACGAGGGGCTGCGGCGGGGAGTCTCGGTGGGAATTGATTTCTAGGCTGTGGAATATCAGGGTCGGGATGAGGTTGAGGTTCGGCTGGAGCCTGCATATACTCCTCGTAAACGGGAGGCTCGGGATAGTTGGGTGCTGGACGCTCGAGGCCTGCGCCCCATTCGGGCTGCAGCATGACTTCGCCTTCGGGGGCTTCGAGCTGGTAGGCAGGAAGATGCTCGTCGGCCTCGGCATATACTGCTGCTCGGGGGTCAGGAATTTCGGCTCGAATTACGTTGGGACGGTCAGGTGGTTCTTGTTGTGGGGGCGCTGGCTCTGCTGCTTGTTGGTTGGGGGCTGGAGGATCATGAGGTGGCTGTAGGGGTGCTGGTGGAGGTCCTAGACGGGGTTCTGGTGGTCCGGGGTCAAGGTCTAATTCTGGATTCTCTACAACGGGAGCCACTCGAGGGACGGCTGGAGGATGTATTTGCTCGGGGGGAGCTGCTGGAAGAGGTACTTGCTGAGGAGCGAGAGGTGCAGCTGGTGCAGCTGGTGCAGGTTCTGGTTCTGGTTGAGCGGCAGGTTGAGCGGCCGCCAAATCCGGTGGAGGCAAGCCAGCTTCAATGTTAGCCTGAGCAAGGCCGGCCCTTGTCGTTTCAAACAACGTTGCAACATCTGGACGATTTGGGGGCTCAATCAAAAGACATTCGTAGATAGCATATAGCAAGCTTCGACTGTATGGAAGTTCCAGATCCTTGCTCACCCTCTGCCATTGATGAGTTTTGGTCATTATAGTAGGCCCTCCATAAACCAGTCTAGGTGTACCATGACTTCTCTTTGCTTCAAGATCGTTCCAATTCACCGATGTCCTACAGTGAATTATACAGAACATGATCAGACCAACTTGCCAGACATTCGTTTTCGATGTATAGACGACCGATTGAAGTGTATTATCTTTACCAGCCTTGTGATAAATGACCCGACTTTGCAACCATGGTCTTGTGTCCCTCATATCACGCCCGCGCAATTGTTCTGGGGCACGCGAATTGATATTTCCTAAATTACAATGTTTTCGATGGTATTCTTCATTTTGAGGAATCTTAATTTTAGCCGCTTGTCGAAAAGAACCAGGCACATAGCCTCTATCTCTTGAATGTGTTGGATGCGGGAACTTCTTGATGTATATATTTTGTGGATTGAGATCAAAATGGACAATGTTGAGATCGTTGCCCATAGGGTCATATTGTCGACTGTAATCAGCCGGATTTTCGTTACCGTGTTTCATGATAAGTAGACTCCGAGCAAGGCAGTGAAAGATCTCCCACGAGCTTCGTTCGGAGACTTTCGTATGATGCCTAACGTTCCAACTTATTAAATCATCGAGGCTACCATTACAATATTCCAATATCATTCTTTCCACTTGCCCCACGTCCTGGCTCAAATAGTTTTTCCCTTCATCTACCCAGGCTTGCTTGAAGAGCTTCACAATATGATGGTTGTGACCAGGTGGAAGTAGCGATTGTAAATTCTCATAATGCTTTGACTCGTCTGACAACTTTTGTCCCATCGGGTCTTTCAAATCACGCCACGAGCGAGGACGTTGCTTGACAATTATATTCTTTTGCCCAAATTGCGTTTCCGCTCTCCAAAGGCCTACTAAACAATCGCCCTGGCTTGAGAGAATTTTTACACCTTCATACATCGGATTCAATGGTTCATTCCACGTCCAGACCTTGTCCAACCATCGTTTCCGACGACGCCGCCACCCAATATCATGAAGTGCAAGGGGGTCTCGGGGCGCTTTTATATCCGCTGGCATTCCAACATGCTCGGCAGGATCTGGCCCTTCGTAGAATTCGAGGTCCTGGTCAAGGTCGGGATCGTAGACATCTTCTTCTGCCATGATGTATTATGGATGTTCGATATATCACGAAAAACAATATGATTTGCTTAATTTGAAGTGCACAAGAAAGAGATGGATTAACATCCTGTTCGCGATGGTGCTCATAAATTGTTGAATAAAGCTTTTCTTGTGAAAAGAGACAAAAGTATGCGACAAGGCTCTTTGTTTGTGGAGGCAGCCGCTGTGAATCAACGGTTCCATTTCCGGAGACTTTATATTATACTAAAGAGCATTTCTTGCAACTATTTCGTCGGCCTTCGAACGAAAGAAGAAACGGAATTGCAACGCAACGTCTCCAAAACACGTTTATGGTGTAGAATTCGATTCTGCATTTACTACCACGCCCAACTTTATGTTTGACACTTTCTGATTTATGAAAAGAAGCCCTAGGAATAAATGAAATATTTTGAGGTTATCATAAACACACATACCGAGGAAACTAAAACCATCAGTCCGGTTGGGACACCTCCTACTTTTGATTGAAATGAAGTCAATTAATTTGAGAGCATGTGATAATGGGTCCCAAATAGATTTCACAATCCTCAATTTGACGTGAAAGCGTATTTCATTTATAATGGCTCTGACTGACAGTAATTCTCTTGCTTCATTCCTAAGTACGTGCTAATTTTCTACCTCAGAGCCAGCTCTACTAACGACATCTTACAGAGATTTACCGCTTGAAGTACCTAGTGAAGTGAGGAGGTAAAATTTGATGTTCAGATTACATCATATGATCACTCTGTCAATCTTCTGGCCTTGGTCTTTAATAGCAGGTTTGGTGGCCATTATCAAGGAGTTGTGGTGGTATTGGATGAGTTTGGCATATTTTGGGGCATAGTGACGTCGAGCACAACACTTGAGTCTTTAACACGCTCATAAGTGGTGGAATTTAGATCCACGGACGTGGATTTAGTTGCGGTGTGGTTTTCGTCTATGATTGGAGTGGATCGAACAACTGTCGTTGCTTGTTTCAGTGGTATTCCATTCGTGATATCTTTCAGAAGCGAACCCTATATCTAGTTAGTACTGCTGGTTGAAGAGTCACCTAAATCAAAAAGTTGAGCCATGGCACAAACCGGGAAGTTCTTACCTTATCGGCAGCAAAATCTGGAGGGGGTCGCGACGGCGTATCTTCAGGAGCTAAAGTAGGGGATGCCAACTTTGCAGCCGAGTTTTTCTGGAGATCGGCGTTTACTCTATGTGTATGGTTACTGGAAAACTTTAGTGCTTCATCAATTTCACCTGTGAGCTCTTTGATATCTGCTTCAAAGAGTTCGTCTCTTGACATATTGAGCCTGGCTTCCTCAGCCTTTTCAGCTTCTTTCTGTTTTGTATTCCCTCCAACCGAAACCCACAATTCTTCCAATTCGTCTCTCCATCCCAAGGCATCTGCTAGTTTCCTAACGCTACTATCGCAGTCACCAAGAACAGCCACATCATCCAACCTACTGCCAAAATCGCCCACGGAGATCATGTTAAACAGCAGTCTTGGGACCGTCTCGGGGGCAAGGGTTGGCAATGATGCGAATGGGTGAACACTCAAGCTGGTGCCCATCACAATGACAAGATCAGCAGTAGCGGGAATCATTTTGTGGGTGTGAAAGGCTTCCGGTAGTTGTTCGCCAAAGAACACAATATCTGGTTTAACTAAACCACCACACTGTGGAACCAGACAAGTTGCTGGGTCTGCATCTTCTATAGCTTTCTTCATCATATCGTCGGGGTATTCACTCTTGCAATCAATGCACCTCTGAGTAGCGAAACTTCCATGTGCTTCGATGACCTTTTCCGAAGAGACTCCGGCTCGACGTTCCAAACAATCAATATTTTGTGTGAAAAGCATTCTGAGCAATCCTTTCTTTTCGATCAACGCAACGAAAGCATGTGATACTGTAGGGTAGAATTTGCCAGGATAGAGTTCTTTTGCCAGAACATAGAAAGGAGCTGGATTTTCGCGGAAGAAGTCGATATCGAAAACCGCTTCTGCATAAGGAAGATTCAGTTCGGCAAGATTGGCGTATATGCCGGTCTCTGGTGAACGGAAATCTGGTATGCCCGCACTAGTGGATATGCCAGCTCCTGTCAAAACAACGATGTTCTTTGCTTTGCCACTCTTGATGAAATCCGCAACTCCTTCGATTGAACGGGCTGAAAGCGTATGGGGAGGATCATCTGGATTGATTTGAGGTTGAGATGCTTCTTGACCCATGTTGGCAATATTTCTGGTGTGTATATCACGCTTATTGTAGGTTTGTGCAGATTTTCTTATGCCTTGTGAAAGTGTACTGAGGGCAGGTAGAGACTGCAGGAAAAAAACCGGATGACGATTTGAGACACAAATCTAGATGTTTTCGAAAATTTAGACGTGTAGATATACTAGTACACTGCTGTAATGACAATGGGCATACGGATCAAAACATCAAATTGCAACCAGAGACAAAGTGAATAATTCTGGGTAATTCTCGTACTGACTACCACCTGACTCTACATCCAATGAAACAATCACAAAAAGAAAGCACCAGAAAACCTGATAAGCGATAAGTATTGTCACGTGACTGAAATCATTCTATCATTGGGAAGGATGAAAGAGAAAGAACTAATCCATGGATGTACTAGGTATCGAAGAGAGGGTTTTAGATTAGTTAGAGCTTCTCTTCTTGGAGTTATGTATCAACTCAGAGGTTTCTAGTATAATCCATCTCATATCATAACCTTGTATTTATCACATAACAATATCGATTGGTTGATTTGACTTGTAATATCTTGATGTTTTCGATACCTACCTAGGAAGGCAACATTCATGTTCTTACTTCTGCTGTCACCCTCGCATTTGAACCAATCAAATTACAGAAATCTCTACCAAGCAATCAAACCTTAGTAAGCCATTTCCCGTTTCTGACCTTTCTCTCTTCCCATCACTCCAAACAAACTTTCCGATGCTTAAGGCAGCCGAGTTCCTTTACATTTTTGGCCATCAACCACCAACCATCAATCACCTTTGCATCTACGTACCCCAGAGCCCAGGTGCTCCAAATTTACGTACATCCATTGCTTACCCAGGTAAATATGGAAACTTCAGCTCTCCCGTTCTTTACTTTGCACCCCTTGATCTGCTTGATTACGAATTGCCTTCAAGGGATACCAAGCCCTCAGCCACACCCGCCCTACTTTTGAAAACGATGAGGCTACCGAGATGCCACTCAATCTTGTCTAGGTACTTCTGACAGTGGATGACGGATGACGGATGACGCCGTAAATACAATTTCCTCCGGTACACACATTGCTTTCTTGGCCGATAAGCTTATTTGGCCTTAAGAACGTCCAACGCTTCTCTTCTTCTCATATTTTATACAAGAGAGATTTCGGTGCATGTTCAATTGCCCTCAGGATATCTAATACTATCATTGACTTGATTGCAAGCCGATGAATTCATCTCGTTCGAAAGTAGACAACAGGTCATGCCGGCGATCCCTTTGACCTCATTGAATAATACCATAGTCAATAAAAACACCGTCACAAATGCTACAAGTGATGTATTGCAGGTCGTATGCGCATGGCCTGTATCTGGTCAGTATGGGCCAGGTTCCCGGGTTCTGTAAGCTTTTCTATCTCTCTGCCAGTCTCTCCAGAAAACTCCACTCCCCTCTATGAAAATGCTGCAAAAACGCGCCAGGTTCCTAACATCTAGATTCTTCTTTCTACAGATACTATGTTCTCGTAGCAGCATGTGTTTTTCTTCGCAAACAACAATGGCTGAAAGAAGCTTGTTTGGCAGCTGCATTGCTTTTCCCCGCCGTTGCTGCACTCCATGGAATAGTCCTTGCAGCTGTCCACGTGGATGGTGAGTACCCCATCAAAAGAGAAATTGTCCCGTTTGTTTGACAGATTATGATTTAGGTGCGGTTGATATGGATATATACGGAGCTTTCCAACTATGCTCCATAGGTGTTTTAGCTGCACCGATAACTGTAAAGCTATCACGAACATACTTTTTTGAAACGCCTGGCCGAAATACCATCTTTCTTTGGACTGGATTGATATTCGCTGGTAAGTATTAATCTTTAATGTTTCATGAGTATCTGCTAATATTCAATCTTCTTACAAGGTCTGTTGAGTTTAACTGTGGAATTCATCAGGGTAAGCACAAGTCCTTGCTTAATCGACAGTGACGGGCATCCAGCCTTTTTCACTCTAGGAAATTTTACCTATGACTCGACATGTGGTCTTACTTGTGATGTCACCTCTGGCCCTTTCTCCCCAATGCGTGGCGGCTCAGCGAATAATATTTATGTTATTCCCGCACCGAGCAAACTCACCTTCGACACTGTTACTCTTCTCTCAGCCGCATGCTGCATTCCTGCTATACTCTCACTTGTGTCTATGTGGAACAAAATCCGTGAGACAAACTGGAACAATCGTTTCGGCCATAAAGAAGAACCCATTGATGCGCCGATTGAGGGCACCAACAATGCAACTGTTGGAAAAATGAAAGAGGTCAACAGCTTGATTAGGTTCTTCCTAAGCGCCATAGAAGTTCCCGTGTTCGTAGGCGCGGTGCTGGCTATTCTTATTCTTGGGGAGAGGAACTTTTTTAGCCAACAAGTCGCATATCAAACTGAGCCCATAGCAACTATCGGTATGTGCCTACCTTCATATGAATATGATACATTGCTGACTTTACTTGTTCGTGTTCGTAGGTCAATGGGCACCCATTGTCGGCACTGGCCTAGCAGTTTTCGGGTCCTTGTACCGTCTCTTAGCAGCAAATATGGAAGCAGACGAAGAGGAAGCATCTCAAAATGCTTCAAAGCATCTCGAGTTCCAAAAACGGGGGATTGGTCTCGGCATAGTCCCAGAGCCATCTCCCTCTCCAGGTGCCATTGAAATGATGCGTCAAAGTCTTTCGAACAGTAGTGGAAGAACTTCTCCCGAGAAAGAGCATCACGAAATAGCGCAGACTTTAAGTAATCGGCCTTCACTTGGCCTAACCAAGTCGTCAACCGACGTGGGAAACAGACGGAAAGTAGCCAATGTTTTAACCGCAATCGGTAATTATGTTGGTACTGCGGCAGAGTTCCGTCTAGACGACTCTGAATTCAAACAAGGAAAAGCTGTTGACTTTCCAGAAATTCCTGGAGAAGATCAGCGAAATCCAAAGCTTCCACATATTAGGGAAGCATACAATCAAACCCGCGATGCCGACGGAAACATCACCCCCATTTTGCGTCCTTCTCGAGCACCTAGCATAAATGGTAGTATTATCTCAGGGCTTGACATTGAGTGTGGCACAGGGACCCCCGAACCCGCGTCACCTCGGTCGCCAACGTCCCAATTCTCTCCTTCGTCAGCAAACAGCGATAAGCCAAGGGCGCGCCGGGATACCCTTGAAGTTCCCTCGCAGGTTCATCATAATCTTACACGACATAATACCACGAGATCTGAGAGTCAGATCTCGCCCCTCATCGTAGTCTCGTCCGAAACTATAGATATACCTTCTCTAATACATACACCTCCTCCAAACCCTCCCACACCACCTTGACCCCTAAGCGAACCGAGGAAATACAAAAATGAAAATCTCGGACGCTTCCAGAACAAGCTTTCTCTTGCCGCTCATGACTTCAAAGAATCTAGACTCAGTGATTCTAGGATAAGGTTTTTTCGTCTGATACGGTGATGCACGAAATTCGGGTTATGTGGCATGTACGAAAGTAGTTCCACTTTTTGATACTTACTATTTTGGGTTCACTGAATGGAATTGTGTATAGAGTGAGTTTATATCATCCACTATCAACAATTTGGAAGGCTGAAAATGGAACTGCCATCATGCGCCCAAAAGTCTCAACAGTCATGACAAATAGTTGTGACTTGCTGGACTCGGGCAACAGACAGGAAATACAATTTTTTTGGAAAGCTTAAGGAGAAATTTGGGGTGGAATTTGACCGGAGAAAATATTTCACTCCGACGCAGTCTTGAAATTTACTAAATTTGGGACGGGAACCTGGCCACTTTTAGCCAAGACTTGGATACCTTCATCGCAAATTTCTTCTTGGTCGGCAGTCATTTCCACCTAGAATACTACAATCTAGATGAGGAATAAAGTTTAAAAAGCCCGAGAGTTTTGTTTGCTATTTCCGTGGGCCCGTCTCCCGAGCGTTGAAAGCCTCGGTATATGCTCCGCAGGCCTACGGCACACCTCTCCCCCAATTCATTAGCCGCGAAGACTTATCGGCCGCTCCCCAAATCTTGTCAGCTTAAGGAACCAAAGGCACAGGACTACCAAACAATCGTATGTAGTAGGCGTGCGTCATTTCGACGACCGTATCCTTTACCGGGGTCATGATGCATGTGAACTTTGTGTTGTTCGTCTTGGGTTTCGACGCAAGTTGTTTCAATGACGGATATCTGTACCTCATTTGGTGCATTTTTGCTTCAATTATGGGGAGCATTGCTCCAGTACACAGTCCGTAAGAGGACGTGGAGTTGGTGGTTCAATCGTTAAGTCAATCTTGAAGCCAATTTTGAGCGAACCGCACTCCCACATTTCTTCTCTGCATCCGAACCATCTCTTCCTCTTCAATAAATTTAGGTCCAATGGGGCCTCTCGTATTTACTACTATAGCTTTGTGGCGTTAGTAAACTTCCCAATTACAAAAGATATCCATCTTTCCGTCTCGCTTGGTACTTTAGCTTCCTACCGGCATTAGCTCGTGTACTAAAGTCGAACTAGACTTTTTTTTTATCGAATCACAAATGTTATTTACGCGTACCTGAAGATCTTGCCTTTATTGAGTGCGATGGTAGTTATACGTCCACCTACGAAAGATCCTTTAGCAAAATACCATACCGGATAGTAACGGTTGAATGCACGAATGCACGAAGTTGCATGCACATGTATAGATATGGAGAAAATCTCTAGTGCATTCATCCCGTTTCTTAGATGGTATTTCTCGATATTAATACATGTAAATGTTATTAAAACCCATGAGAAATATGGTCTGTTGTGGAGAATTCATGTCTTCAAACATAATTGATTGTGATATCTGGTCCTATCAGTTATTGTTATACAATGGCGGAAGATCGAGGTCCTGAAATTGGTGAGTTTACATCACAACATGATAGATGATTCTCATCAATGCTAAATGTTGTTCAGCTGTTATTCTTTGTGTCTTTATGGGACTTTCATGGCTATTCGTTTCTCTTAGGATTATTGTCCGTTTGTTCATCACGAAATCTTGGAGTTTTGATGATTCTCTGCTTACGGTGTCACTCGTCAGTTCTTCCTTCAAAATTCATTCACTCGACTAATAGAATCAGTTTCTATACACTCTCTATGGCACAGCAGGCTTACAATCTGTAAGGTTCGGGAGTGGACAACATACCGATCAGATTTCACGTGAAGATCTCCCCAGAGCTCTCCAGGCATGGTGGTTTGATGAGTGAGTGT